AGTCCACACCTGGGTGTCTGCCTGAATCAAAAACATATGCCCACACGTATCACCTGAAATCATTTTGCTCAAAGTCTTTTTCGTCCGGGGGTCCAAAATCAGCGATTGCCAGTAACCGATCAACCTGAAAAGGAACAGACAGAGGGTGACTCTCGAGCCACAGCACTGCCTGCGTCAGAGCCGGGCGCCGGCTGAGTGCGAGCATCCGCTGCCCGGTGCCAGCCCCACCACGGCCTCAAGCCCGCCCGCCGCCCCTCCTCCCCGTGCCGCTGCCCACACCTGCTACCTCAAGCCCGCCCGCCGCCCCTCCTCCCCATGCCGCTGCCCACACCCCCCGCTACCTCAAGCACACTTTCTCTGATAATGAACTGAGGCTTTTTGAAAACTACACTTAAAACTTGTAAATGTCAGTCAAATTTACAAAGAAACCAGTTAAATATTAGTTGAATTACTAACGCTTACTGGTTTCTAACGAAGTTTCATAAAATGCTTCAATTTTGCCGCAGAATTTGCGGGGAAAGCCCCCAGTGCGGTAACATGAGCGTCCCAAGTCTAGCGTGTGGCTCCGGTCCTGCAGGGGCTGAGGGGCCTACGCTGGGGACAGACCCTGCTCCTCAGCAGGGCCCGTCAAGGGCCTCTCCACCTTCACGCGTCTCTTCTGACTGCCGCCAGGTCGTCCTACTGGGGCCGTGCACTGAGACCCGACCTCCTGCTTCAGTGCAAGCCCCGGCGAGCCTGGTCCACAACTGGGCCCTGTCATATGCAGGAACTAAAGCATCATCACCAACCGGTGACACACCAATCAAACCACAAAGGTGAAAAGAAGAACTGGAGACAAATCAGTCCACAGAAAATACCAGGAACAGGACTGACGATGCTACAAAACAAGGACAAAGTGGCCTCCTCCAAAGTTAAAAGTGGAAGAAAATGTTCACAATGAAGATTTCTGCCAACTGACTTGTACCAGACACACCATGAACCGACACAACTCAATGATAAGCAAACCTTATTAAAAATGGGCAAGAGACTTTAACTGATCCACAAAAGGAGGAATGACCAGCAGGCACATGAAAAGACGCTCAATATAATTAGTCACCAAGAAAATTTAAGTTTAGGGGGCTTCCCTGGTGGCACAGTGGTTAAGAATCCGCCTTCCAGTGCAGGGGCTGCGGGTTCCATCCCTGGTCGGGGAACTAAGATCCCACATGCCACGGGGCAACTAAACCCGCACGCTGCAACTAGAGAGAAGCCCACAATGAAGAGCCGGCACGCTGCAACAGAGACACAGCGCAGCCAAAATTTAAAAAAAAAAAAAGAAAAAAAGAAAATGCAAGCTTAAGCCATCAGGATGGCAACGCCAGGGGCTGGCGAGGGCGTGGAGGCCCAGGGACCCTGACGCTGCGGTGGGAGTGCCTACAGCACGCCCGTGGTTAAAGCAGCCTGGCAGCTTTCTGACAGTTAAACATACGCCTGCTGCTCCTAGGAACTGACCTCAATGAAACAAAACATACATCCACAAATATCTGTACGCTAACGTTCACAGTGCTTCACTCTTTACAGCCAAGGAGTGGGAAAAAAGACAAATGTCTATGAAAAAGTGAATGGGTTAGTAAACTGCAGTACAGCTGTACAATGGATGCCGCTTACCAATAAAAAGGGAACTACTTACACGTGAAACAACGTGGACGAATCTCAAAACCACTGTGCCGAGCAAAGCCAGAGGCAAAAGACAGCATCCCGATTCCATTCATGCGAAATTACAGGGGTCTCAGCAGGCAAAACTAACCTACAGTGACTGAAACCGGACGGGTGGTAGGGGAGAGCTGACCGCGGTGAGCAGGGGTGGCGATGACACAAAGGTATGCGTTTGTCAGAGGAGGCGCAACTCAACATTATTAAGCCTCGGTAAAGCTTATTTTATTAACAAAGAACCAAATCCAAACACAACCTCAAACGCTAACACTTTAAACACAGGCCGCCGGGCTAACTTCTTGTGGAAGGGGAGCTCTGAGCTCAGATGGTGCGGGCCAGACCCTGCGCAGTGGGGCAGTGGGTGCCCCTGCGCGGTGGTCACCGGCTGCCCGACACCTGCTCTCGGAAGCCTGACCGTCAGTGGGGAGACGAGTGTGCATGTACCACAACACTGGCGTCAGAGTTTATGTATTTCCCTTAAGAATTCAGATAAAAAAGTTGTTTCCTCTATAGTTACAGTAAAAATCAACATTCTAAAAACCTCTCGACTGAAGTGCAACATCTATGGGAAAGGTACACAAACCATGAAGCGTAGCTCAGTGACATCCCACACATTGAACACACGTGTGGGCACGGCCGCGACACTTAGGTGAAGCCCAGAGGCCTCCTCAGGCCCCTCCTGCTCACTCCCCTCCCCGTGACAGCCATTACTTTTACTTCCAACACCAAGGATTAGCCAGGCTCTTCCTGAACGTTTTATGAACAGAAGCTCTCAGCGCGTGGCCTTTCCTTGGCTCCACGGCCGGAGGGAGTTGGGTCAGGGGACTGTTCCAGAGCACGTCCGTCCATTCTGCCAACTGCACTCGCCAGAGACCCTGTGCCAACGTTCCCGGCCGAGTCCGTGGGTACTGCGGGGGGTGGGGGTGGGGGGCCTCGAGGGTCACAGACTCAGCTTCCCTGGGGACGGCCAGTCTCTAGCGCGGCACTGTGAGCCGCCCTTCCGCCAGGCCCCACCCCTCGGCGCTCGCACCCTCACTCCTGTAAGGAAAGCCCTCACGGAGGGGTGCGCGCTGGAACCCGGTTTTCGTTCGCGCTCTCCTGACGAGCGCCTCCGCGTGTGTTTACTGCCAGTACCGTCAATATTGCTGAATTACTCAGGGTGCAGTTTGGACAGAGCTCATTACTAGTTCTCTTTCAAATGTCCAGACTAGTGACCTGAAGATTATCCTGAGGATGCAAGGTAAGCTGCTGAAACTGGTAACATGTTAGCAGTTGCAACTACCTGTGATTTTTGGTGCAACCAACATAAGACAGAAATAAACGGACTGATAGAAGACTCAAAGTTTCGTCCAGGACTCCCAATTTCAAATGTCTGTCTCTAGCCAAGTGCTTTATCAACAGCTGACTTTAAATCTATTAAAAACATACACAGTGTTTGAAAAACACTGCCCTGACTTACGCCAGGGGAAGCAATGACCATGTCCTCAAATGATCACCTACCCAAATCAGAAACCCCTCTGGTCCAGCCTTCACTTCTAACTACAGTGAGGCGGAAAACTGCAGGACTCTGAGGTGCCAGCCGAGGCCTGACCGACCCTTGGCCCCCAGGTCAACAGCTGAGTTCTGGGCACATGCAGGACCCACCATCACCGCGTGGCACGTGTCCGACCCTTGGCCACTTCCCCGGAGCACACGAGGCAGGACAGACGCTAGAGGTCTCCAGTGCAAACACCCATTAGCACGGCCTCCGGAATAAGGCCTCCCAGAAACGCTTAAGCTCGCGTGCACCTCCCTCCCTCCAGTGACTTTTTCTGGAAAGGAACCCACACAGCCAGGTAGGACCTTGCAGCTCTGAATTCTTCCTCCACAGAGAGAGGGACGAGCCAGCTGAGGGCTCATCCTCTGAGACAGGTGGGTCCTCCCACCAGCCCCACCCGACGTGCCCGGGGATTCCTGCTGAGTATCTGCACAGCACAGCCATGACCTAAACTCCACTTGAGCTGGAAGCGGCACTGCAACTTCACTCCTGTTCCCCTTTCCAGCTAGGAAACCACACATCTATCAAAGTTATCCACATAATGTTTTCAGTATCGCTTGTATCATGAATAACAAAGGACGACAATGTACAATTTTTTCCCCTCTGTGAATCTGAATACTACCTAGTCCTACAGTGAGTAACAGCAACCTAATCATAATCCCGTAAATGCTACTGTTTCTTCGGTAAACTTTTTAAAGGTGTAACATACCTTAATAACCATGAAGCAACCACCACCCAGATTAAAACGTATGTATGTTTTAACAGGTTTTTAATCTTTATAATTAACCTATACCTAAAACAAGGAAAATAAGTATGAAACAATTACAGTTACAGGACAGAACGTAAGTGTGTCAGCCTTAACAGTGTAAAGTAACCAGAGACAGACTGAAATCTAGGGAAGTGAGAGAAGGAGGTAAGCACAGGAGGGCAGCTCTGACTGCTTCAAGTTTGTAAACAGAGAGAGAGGGATCTGCTTTACTAGTTAGGGCTATACTGACAAGCATTCAAACATTAAAGCCACACAAAGTGGTTACCTCTGGGGAACAGGGCTGAGAACAAGGCACAGGTGCCTTACTTTTCATCTGTACCCTTCTATTACCTTTTAAAAACTGTATACGTTATCTTTTGAATATTTAAAAATTAAATTTAAAATCTTACCCATATAAAAGTTTACATCATAAACAGGTAATTATGTAAAAGCCTGACCTCCACTGCAGCTGCATTTTTTTTGTCCTGAACAAACACTATTGGCGGCATGTTCCTCAGGGTCTGCTGGGACATCAAAAGGTGCCTGGAGAGAAAAAGAGATTTGTGCAGTCACAGGTGACACTTGGTGGAGGGGTGTCAGTGCCAGAAACAGAAAATATCATCTCACAAAGAGGTGAGGCATGATTTTTTTAAATTAATTAATTAATACATTTATTTTATTTATTTGGCTGCATTGGGTCTTCATTGCTGGGCGTGGGCTTTCTCTAGTTGCAGCGAGCGGGGGCTACTCTTCGTTGCGGTGCACAGGCTTCTCACTGCGGTGGCTTCTCTTGTTGCAGAGCATGGGCTCTAGGCACGCGGGCTTCAGTAGTTGTGGCACACAGGCTCAAGAGTTGTGGCTCATGAGCTCTAGAGGGCAGGCTCAGTAGTTGTGGCACACAGGCTTAGTTGCTCCGCGGCATGTGGGATCTTCCCGGACCACGGCTCGAACCTGTGTCCCCTGCATTGGCAGGCAGATTCTCAACCACTGGGCCACCAGGGAAGCCCTGAGGCATGAGTTTTGCTTACCACATTCTTCAAAGATGAAAAGTCTTCCTTAGCCAACTGCCACATTTCAACAGGGATACAAAATGCATGATCACAATTGTTTTTAATTCTCTAAATGCAACTTCTGAGATTCTTACAAATAGTCTGACGTGAACTTGGGACATTCCTGGGCATCACTGTGGCCTTGGGCTGTGGTTTGGGCACCAACAACCTGCCAGCATTTCGTCCCTCCATCCGACCGACACTCATCGGCAACAGCGCCACAGAAGTGTGGCTGCCGGCCGTGCTTCCCGGACGTCAGACACAGAAACGATCTTCATATTACCCAGTCATGCAATACATGCGGATCCAGGGGCGACAAGCATCCAGTGAAAACACTGCTGTGACACACAGCACATCTGCTCAGCGACGCAGTTATGGGAAAACCTTTACACTAAACCTTGGTGATCAAAAGAATTGGGAAAAGGGACATTCTGTTCAACTGAATTTTCTGTTACCTAAAAACTAATCAGAAAACAGCAGGAACTCCAGTCCCGAGGGCTGCTCTGCCAGGTCTCTCTGCGTCTTTAAGACTGAGGAGAAAACTGAGTAGCTTCTTTACTCTCACCCAGCTCAGCGGTTCTCAAAATCCTTGGTCTCAGGACCCCTTTATACTCTTAAAAATTATTGAGGACGCCAAAGACCTTTTGTTTATGTGGGTTACATCTACCAATATATACCAGACTAGAAATTAAAGCTGAAAACATGTATTTATTAATTCATTTAAAGTAACTTTTTTTTTTTTTTTTTTTTTGCGGTACGCGGGCCTCTCACTGTTGTGGCCTCTCCCGTTGCAGAGCACAGGCTCCAGACGCGCAGGCCCAGTGGCCATGGCTCACAGGCTCGGTGGCATGTGGGATCTTCCTGGACCGGGACACAAACCCGTGTCCCCTGCATCAGCAGGCGGACTCTCAACCACTGCACCACCAGGGAAGCCCACTATATTTTAAAAGAAATTAATGAGAAGAGTGGCATTGCTTATGTAGCTGCAGATTCCTTTAATACCCAGCATAATGGAACAGCTGGATTCTCATCTGTTATCTGTATTCAATCTGTTGTTATTTTGTTTAAAATAGAAGAAAATCTGGCCTCACACAGATCTGTAACTGAAAAGTAAAGCGTATATGAACAGCCTTTCAGAAAAGTGTAGATCTTCTCTGATGCTACACAAGAACTCAACAAAGAGTAGTTTATTAAAGACTGCAATGTGGAATCTGAAACCAGATCCATGAACCGCGTTCTCTGTACATGAAAATCCACCGGCCCTCTTGCCCTTTGAATCGATCTCTCCCTGTGTGTGATTTTCTAACCTCATGCCTTGGTCTTTTAGAAAATACTGGTTCAGCAGGTCACACAGATTTTCAGAATGGTGATGTATTTTACAATACGTCACCTCCAATCTCATCAAAAGGGTCTTATGTACCATGAGGCTGTCAAACTCAGAGTGGTGGATACAAGTTTTCTAAAATTCTGATTTTCACTGAAAGCTTAAATTTTACCACTGGCAACAAATATGGTCAGCTGTGCCCCTGAAGTGACAGGTTCACTCTGCTCACTTTGGAGAAAATGTCTGTCCTATACCCACATCTGAATAACCATAGTTATGAATGGATAAAGAAGATGTGGCACATATATACAATGGAATGTTATTCAGCCATAAAAAGAAACGAAATTGAGCTATTTGTAATGAGGTGGATAGACCTAGAGTCTGTCATACAGAGTGAAGTAAGTCAGAAAGAGAAAAACAAATACTGTATGCTAACACATATATATGGAATTTAAGGGAAAAAAATGTCATGAAGAACCTAGGGGTAAGACAGGAATAAAGACACAGACCTACTAGAGAACGGACTTGAGGATATGGGGAGGGGGAAGGGTGAGCTGTGACAAAGCGAGAGAGAGGCATGGACATATATACACCACCAAATGTAAAATAGATAGCTAGTGGGAAGCAGCCGCATAGCTCAGGGAGATCAGCTCGGTGCTTTGTGACCGCCTGGAGGGGTGGGATAGGGAGGGTGGGAGGGAGGGAGACGCAGGAGGGAAGAGATATGGGAACATGTGTATATGTATGGCTGATTCGTTTTGTTATGGAGCAGAAACTAACACACCACTGTAAAGCAATTATACTCCAATAAAGATGTTAAAAAAAAATGAATAACCATAGTTGGTTCACTTGTTCTTTGAAGTGAAGCGTCTATTTTGGGTCACAATCAGCAACTGCAGTGTTCCGAGACAACCACCAGAGCTTCTTGCACACTTCCCACCACAGATACTAAAAAGATGTGCCAAAGGGTCGAGATACGCGTCACGGATGCTCTTAAATAAAGCTGGCAGCGCACTACCACAAGCATGTGCGGAAGCTACAGTGACCACCAGGACATCTGGGCCAGCAGTTTTACCCCCATAGCTTCAGTACAACATGTCAACACGGTGGGAACGGAAAACCACACCTCATTGTGAAGAAGCTCTCACCTCATCAACCTCTCCCTAGAAAGGACCCGGGATCACACTTCAAGAACAGCTAACCTAGGTTATGGCTTATATGAAGGCGTAAGTTCTGCTCTGAAATTCAAGAAAATGCTTCCCAAATTTTCCTTAAAAGCAAAAATAGTGGACAAAACCAGCTGGAAGGCAGGGTCAAGGAGAGGCCTCACCTCATGTGCGCAGCGCTCCTCTGCAGGACGGCCCCCACGTTTGCGTTCTGAGCCTCAGAGACAGTCGTCCTCCAGTACACGCGGCAGGTGGAGAAGTCTGAAGTCAGAGAGACCTGAGCCCAGCCCCAATTACTCTCAGCTCACCTGGGCTCCTGGAGACAGAGCGCGTCACGAGAGGCGCACTACCTCACGGGCAGTCCTGGCTTCAGGCTCCCACTGCCAGGGCCAGCGCCCCAAGCACACTGCTGGGGACGGGGGAAACGTCCCCTTCCCCGGGGGGAGCCCAGCCTCACCCCACGCACAGCAACGCCTCAGCTGCTGCTACTGCCCCTCCTCCTTTCCCTTTGGCTGCACGCACTCTGCTCTGGGGGCACAGACGGCAGAAGCTGCCTCCCGTGTCTTTACACCAAGATGAAGGCAGATCACCCACCGCTCACCTGACCCCCAGACCTTCAGACGCCCCACTTCATCACTTACTGGGCTCTGAGCACCCTCGGTGCTGTCTGGCCAAACACCACCCATGCACAGTGAGACACTGCTTTTGCACCCCACAAGCACCTTCCTCTCCTTAATACCCAGACGGCCACGCTGAGCATCCCTTCCGCCTTTTCTAACTGTCAGGCGACGACAGAGGCGCGAGGCCCGCAGTCCCTCCCTGGCCCCGAGGCCTACCTTGGAGAGCTCCACATTCAAGTCGCAGAGCTCCTGGCTCACTTCCGGGGTGCACAGCAACTCAGTCAGCGCTTTGTAGAGGAGGCCGTTCAGGGCCCTCAGGCGCACGTGGTCTTCCCTCCTGGCTCTCTTGGAGGTGCTCTTTGTCAGGGATGCCAACTGAGACGGCTTGTGAGTCTCCGTTAAGAAGAAAGGCAGACACACAGGCAACATTACAACTGTACATAAACTTGTACTAACTGACGATAAAGGTCATTCTCGGCCATCTTAGTTTTCATGAAGATACAGTTTCTTTTACAGACCAGGACCCTTCTAGATTTCACCTACCATCCCTTAAAGATCAAGAGTACTGCCAAGCATATATTTTTTTCCAAAAAAAATTTTATTGAAACATAATCCACACAGCATAAAATTCTCCTTCTTAAAAAAGTACAATTCGAGGGGCTTCCCTGGTGGTGCAGTGGTTGAGAGTCCACTTGCCGATGCAGGGGACATGGGTTCGTGCCCCGGTCCGGGAAGATCCCACGTGCCGCAGAGCGGCTGGGCCCGTGAGCCATGGCCGCTGAGCCTGCGCGTCCGGAGCCTGTGCTCCGCAACGGGAGAGGCCACAACAGTGAGAGGCCCGCGTACCGCAAAAAAAAAAAAAAGTACAATTCGGTGGTTTCTAGTATATACAGTGTA